ATATGCACGAATCCATCCGCATATATCTGAAAATTTTTGGTTCAAGAATGGACGAGTGACCAGATTTCTATACACCTCTATTGCAAGGATGAAATTTGGCCATGGTAAATTCCCTAGCCATCTTTATAGACTGGGTATTCTAGACTCTCCTGGATGTTCATGTGGTAATGAGGTAGGTGACATCAACCACCTGTTATTTAACTGCAATAGATACCATAGCCAAAGAGAGAGTTTTTTGCAAAATCTTCTGGGATGTGGCGTGCGATTACCGACATACAATTTTGAGTTGCTAAGTTTAAATAGAAAAGATATTTATGTATTATATTATCGGGCGATTCCTCGCAAGCACTGGAATTAGATTCTAATCCTGTTGCTCCTTGACTAATACAATCCATTGAACATTAGAATACATTGAGTTGAGAGTTTGTTGAATTTATTCCGTGGCTAATGGGCACAGGGCTCGAATAGCTTAATAATAACGACGGTTTCCCGCCAATTTCATCCATAATGGATACTATGGGCATTACAATCGGGAGTCAAGCCGCATGTTACGCTTCTAGTCGAGATGAGAAACGCATCAATCGAATCTGAACATTTGTACCTGATGCTGCTAAGAATGTATAAGAATTTCCAGAAGAGAAGAACGCGCGGCTCGGCAAGATTTTTTCGAAGAAGAAGAAGGAATACTCTTTGAACCAGGCATACCAAAATAATAATAAGTATAATGACCGAGAGGAATATAATTTATAGTTTAATTGTTTATAGAATTAACAAGGAGAGAGGTTAGGTTTGTTTTGATGAATGAATATGAATGAAAATATATTAAAAAATTCTTTGATAATCATTTNAACAAGAGTAGTTGGAAACGTTTCTCGGTGTCCTATCTAATGCAATAGAAGCAGAAAAATGCAAATATAAAATACCGCAATGAATTTATATTTGCATTTCTCTGCTTCTAATGCCAAATTGTCTTGTTGCTTGAAACCTACGTAGACAAATGTTGGAAAATTATCTAAACCAGGAAATCCTGTGTTACCTTAACACCTTTTTCAAAACCCCCAAGCAGAGAAAGTGGACATAGGCAAGCCCGAATGGTAGAACAAAGAATGAGATTGATTACATTACAACTAATATCAGAATCATCTACACAAATGTATCAGTGTTAATCCTGTTTGACACGGGAAGTGAACATAAGTTGGTAAGAGCATTACTAATATTTAATCTAAGGATCGAAATAAACAAACTGATACATAAAGTCAAAATTTCCACACTCGAAGAAGTAAAACAAAACAAAGACTAATACCTATAGGAGCTGAAGAAATGATCGAACTGCTCATCGCCCTGAGCAAATTGGAAATGGACAAAAATGATTTGAACAGGAAAATTACCACAAATGTTCAGAATGCTATTACGAAAACAAGTGACAGAATCAGAGGCAAAGGTACCAGATTTGCGCAACGGAGAGAAATCACAAGTGAAAAGTATTACCAAAGAAATCAAAGTTATTTGAATATATAATACAGAAATGATAAAAACTGTTATAGAGAAAAATTTTAAAGCTTTCGCGGAAAAGGTCGTATTTAGAGGTTGGAGGACAAATGGTCGGAATAAGAATGAATAGAGGAGGAAGGTTTGGGACGCTAGGACTCGCACAGGATTATGGACATCGGTTTATCGTGTGTTAACAATTTAACGTGTTCAGACGAAGGACACGTTTAAGGTGTGGGCAGAGGAAAATTCCGAGATTGAAAAACGACAATCATTTGCCTTATTTATAAGAAGGGGATAGATTGACGCGTAGTAGTTCTAAAGGGATATCCTTGTTACCTACAGCTTATAAATTATTAACTGCAATTTTAAATGAAAGAATCGAACCATACACACAAAGAATTATAGGTGAATATCAGGCATCTTTTGGACTAAATAGATTACAGACCATCTGTTTGTCCTGAGATAAATTACGGAGAAGTGCTAGGAATTTAATATAGACATTTACATGTGCTCTATCGATTTTCGATAAGCATATGATACCACAAGAAGGGATAAAATAAGAATGATCTTATCGAGTTTTGGAATACTAATTAAATTAGGTATGCTAACTATGAGTGAAACTGTCAATCAAGTTAAAATCCAAAATAAGCTTACAGATAGTTTGTAAGTAGTCAGGGATTGAAGTAGGGTGGCAATTTGGCATCATCAGTATTCAATCTTTTCCTGGAATATGTTATGAAGCAATATAAAATAGATGCTAAAAGCTCAACACCATATAAAACAGCACAAATCATGAGATACTGCGATGACATTGTAATTATATCTCAATCTCGAATAGGAATGAAAGAAGCCTATAAAGAAATTAAATTGGTGGATAGGACAGTAAGTTTGGAGGTGAATGTAAACAAAACCAAGGTAATGATTCAATCACGTAGACATCAAATTGAACCAACAAATATAAATATAGAAAAGGAGTCCATACAATTGGTTGATGGGTTCATATATTTGGGGTCCAGCTTTGGAAGGGACGATGAGGACTGTCATGAAATAAGGAAAAGGATAAATTTAGCCAATAAAACTTATTTTTCCCTCTTACCAATATTCAAACCTAAGGGGGTACATAGAGTTATGAATAAAACTATAATAAGGACTGTACTCTGTTATGAATGTGAAAGCTGAACATTCAATAGAAGAGAGGAATTTCAGTTACAGTTTTAATTATCAGTTTTCGATGGGTGGGGGTGGAGAATGAGATACAACAAAGAGCGTTATAGTTTGTAAGATTAAAAGATTGCAATGGGCGGATTATATACAGTGCGTGGGAACAGAACGTATCTGTAAGAAGATATTAATTAGCGATTTTGTTGGTAAGAGAAGAGCCAGAGAGCTAAGAAGTAGATGGGTGGATGCTGTGGAGGAGGACATGAGAGGGATTCCGGGTGTCAGGTGTTGGAAGTGGTATGCTAGGGATGGATAGAAATGGAGGAGTTTGATAAAGGCGGCCAAGGGCCGACATCGGGCTATCGCGCCATAGAAGAAGAAGAAGACGAAAAAGGATGGTTATTATTGATTGCTAGAATCAGACTTTATACTAAGGATGTACATTTCTGAACGTTGTACTTGAACCCGTCTACTTTACCAGAGGGTAGCCTAAGGTTGTAGATTTCGCTGATAAGTTATAGATATTTGATATGTTGGATTGGAATATTTTACAGCAAATTTAATGAAGACCCTGTGACAGGTTCAAAAATCGTTATTCATTTATCTAAAAAGAATTAGGTTTAAAATTTTATTTGTATTACATTTGATTAATAAATGGCGCTAGCGGTTTGCCATTTGGTTTGCATGACACGAATGGAGCATGTTTTCAATTTGACTGATAAATATTGTTAAAAAGTGTCGTTTACGTTAGCTACCAGTTACTTAATTTTGCGAAGTTTTGTCAATCAAAATGGGTAAAAAGGATTCTATGGTCAATCCTATCTACATAAAATTTTGCTAGTACGTTACCTACCAAGTTGGCAAAAAATGTAAACGTATAAAGTGTAGAATTTGTGATAGAGTCATTATTACTCACTGGCAAGTGACACTGGTACTGACAAATTAACCCATAAAGTTGTAAGCGATATTACAAAATATTATTTGTTTAGCCAAAAGAAGTAATTCTAATTCTGTCGAGAAAATAAAGAACGTTCTACCACAAAAGTTCGACTAACAACAAAGTACATCATGATTATTGCCTTCATTGAGAGATAGATGGTGTAAGTGGCGACAAGTGGAGATAGTCGGTGTAAGTGGTATTCTTAGTATTTTTCATCATAACAAGCCGCCGTCAAAAGGATACAGTTCTTGATGTTATAAAGGCAAACAACAATGATTTGACATCAACAAGTTTGTTAGAAAGATGTCTAGGAGCCACTAAATTCTCTTATTTGGACTTTTGCTCCAAAACATGTGCATTCTGGTGTAAAGACTTTTGGCAACTTCAATTTTTAACGACGATTTCTCACCAATTTCATCCAACATAGATACTATAAGCATTACAATCGGGAGTGAAGCGCACCTTACGCTTCTAGTCGAGATGAGAAATGCATCAATCGATTTGAACAACGTATATCTGATGCTGCTAAGAACGCCAGAATTGTCAGAACTGGCGGCTGGGCGAGATTTCTTTATGGACCAGGCATAGCAGAATAATAGTAAGTGCAATGACCGAAGGGAATATAATTTATGGTTTAATAATTGTTTATAGAATTAACAAGGAGAGAGGTTAGGTTTGTTTTGATGAATGAATATGAATGAAAATATATTAAAAAATTCTTTGATAATCATTTAATTTAAGTGAATTGAAAAACTATCGTCTCTTTTTAAGATTTAAAAGAAATAATAAAAATAAACACAACAATGGTAATACTAAAATTTTATTTTTAACTTCGTTTCTAAGACACCTTAATTGTATTAGGTAGTGGTACATAATGGATGCTGGAACATTTTTAATTGAAAAGTACTTAATTTCTACTATGCACATAATTACAACTAATCGTTACGTTACTAAATCGTTACAGTAAAGTAGTTTAGAAAAAAAAAGGAAGAATGATTTTTTAATAAGATTGAAATGTCGGAAAGTTTGGAAATTATTCAATAATGGAAAATTGAGCAAAATCGTTTTCGAAACGAATAATTTACAAGGTTTATAATAATAAATATTTATACAAAATAGATGTTATATTACATAATAAATCCAAAAAAGAAAAACAATTTATCATCAAATAATAAAGATAATAATTTAAAAATTTTCTACAGAGTATTTTGAAATTAAAAATTTAATTTAAGTTTAATGACTCAGGGGACTTTCTGATTTTTTTAAAAATAAAATTAAAAGGCAAAACTATAAAAATAATTTCCGGCGAGAAACAAGATTTCTTTTTCTCAATCCCGTTCTCGTTTTTTCTTACATAACACGTTTTTAACTTCATTTAGAATTAATTTTTTTAAACTTTCTCTCTTCATTCTTATTGTCCCCATTATTTTATTATCTTTTTACCCCCATAAATAAAAAAATCACTATTTCTTGTGGTACCCAACAGCTCCTCCTCCTGCGTGTCCACCAGCTCCACCTCCGATTCCACCTAAGAGTCCCCCTAAATTAAATCCGGCTGAAACTCCAGCACCACCGTGTCCTCCACCACCTCCGTGTCCACCTGAAGCTCCACCAAGCAATCCTCCAGATCCACTAGTTATTTTTTGAATCGCAACTCCCAAAAATGGCCCGGCTGCTTGTAATTTTTGCCCAACAACGTCTGTTATTAAACCGGAAAGAGAAATAACGGGGTCTTTTGGTGGGTAAATTCCTTGGGCTTTATTCTTTGCGATGTTTGCGTGATCCAATTGGTTCACCCATTGGGTTTTTTGGTCGATGAATTGATTGATTTTCTAAAGATATTAGAGGGGAGGGAAAAATACTTAGTTAAGAGACGATAGTTTTTTTGTGCAAAAATGTGTGAGTATTGAGTTAAAATAAAATTTTTAAATGTTAAATTTAATTGCAAACTTACGTTGAAAACTAAGCCGATTAATGCGTTTTTAAAACCCCATTTAGCTTCTACTTTCTTCTTATCCCTAAAAGCATCGTCGTGGTGGTCACCCTAAATAAAAAAATAAATTAATTAAATTCAAGTAATTTTCCATTCGTTTTCGAAATAGTTAATGAGTTTTAATGTTACGTTCACTTCTTAGATATAAGAATATATAATTAGCGTAAAAAATATTAAATGGTTATTTTGAAATTGAATGAATTAAGGTGAATTTAACAATAAAAATTAAACGTTGGATACATGTTAACTTATCGGACGATATAGTTTTCGAAACGTTTTAAAATTTTCGTAACACCTAAAAGACGTTGTCCTACTTTGTAAACATGCAATGATGTAATTTTGCGATCACTTCGAATACATTTAAACACATATGGCCGTGATAAAATAAACGTGGAAAATAAGAAATTAAGAAATTTATAGCGGGTCAACAACATCGAATTTGTTGTATAAAAAAATTTTGTCCCTGATTTTAAAATATTCATAAAGTAAATAATTAATGTTATGTACGGTTTATTAGAATTGAAAAGCACCTTGAATTGATTAAATATACGCCCTAGTAAAAGTGAAATGAACGCGGCAATGATTTTTTTATTTATTTATCCCATAACATTACTTAAGTATGCGTAAAGTACCGTTCGAATTAATTTATTTTATTTATTCATTCACTTTCCGAATTAAATTGCGCGAAAAATGACCTTTAAGATTCTATTTTTATTCTTACTCAATTTTGATTGTTACTTTCTCTTGATATTTATAAATGATAACGAATAATTATTGCGCAAACAAAGAAGTGGTCATTTTTATTGTTGGTTAGTTGTGTATGCATTTCAGACCACAATGGAAATTTCTCTCTAACGCATTTTGTGTAAGAGGTGAATTTGCATATAGAAAAGCGAGTTAAGTGCGAAATGACCTATTAAAATGTGACATAATCTACGAAATTATTTATTCTTATCTTTGCAATAGTTAAACAAAAAAAACAAGGTATTGTAATTATTATAAATTAGGTTTTTATTTCGTTTCGTTTACCGCAAAAGTATTACTACATTTTAAGATAATTCATCAATTATTATCCAACAAAAAATATATAAAACAAAAAGGAATGATTATTATTTAAATAATATATGTGAGTGTTAATGACCAGAAAAAGAGCTGTCTCATTTATGTTCTTATACGTTTCCGTTTTGAGAAGAAGAAAGTGATCTCCGCAAGCGGTTATATAACGTGACTTTCATCGAGGTCTTCAAGTATAAAGTTAGAGAGACGACACGATTTCTCTATTACTTTACGACTTATTTATATAAAATAAAACATGTTTAACTTAAAAAAGAAATAAAAAAATACGTACGTGACCAGGTTCTATCGCTGCATGTCCATGTTCTAATTGTCTTTTAACCAAACTCCTACTTTCCGCCGATTGCCATAAAGTAACTAGAAGAACCAAACCGAAAGCGCACGTCAATTGCCTCATCTTGATGTTGAAAAATTTATAAATAAAAAGACTGAAACGAAATAAAACAAAAAAAAATTAAAAACGAATTTATTTTAACAAAAAATAATCACTAAAAAACTAAAACTAAATCACTAAAAATCACTAAGACAATTTTTTTTAATCTTATTTTAAACATTTTTTATAACAAAATTTTGAATTATTTTCAAAAACAAAGATGGCTGCCAAAAATAAAGATGGCGCCTCGAAGATGTTTAGATTTGATAATCAAAAAAAGGAAAAAAAAATTGTTGATAAACAATCGTAAAAACGTCTTACACTCTACTGTGGAAGCCGAGAAGTGAATGCGCTCAAAGCTTTAAACTTCTTCTTATTTCTAGTATGTATGTGGGTCGTGTGCGCGTGCAACACGAGTGAGGGCGCCACTGGTCGCCACTCGACGACGAAATGAACTCGACGATTGCGAATGAAGAAGAGGGTCAAGGAATAGACCACCGATATCAACAATCATTTAATCCCCACCTTGTTTTTTAAAAATATTTTAGTTAATTCATTTCGAAAGTTACCATCGCAAATTTCGATCTAAATTGTATTTTATTTTTCAATGATTTTTGTGTTAATACACTTGAACTTGATGGGTTTCACACGTTTAATCAAGTATGAACTTTATTACTTTTAGTTTTAAAAGTTAAATATGTTCCATTAAGAAGAATTTTATTGTTACATGGAAAGAAATTAGTTTTTTAATTGAAAAATAACTCAGGTAAAAAATATTTATAAACAAAAACAGTAAATTATATTCTCCTATTTTTGATACGCGAAATTCGAATATTTCGATTATTTATACAATTTTCGAGACATCTAAGGGATTTCGTCAATTTTTAAAGACTCCGGTCTAGAATTACGATTTTTAAAAGAATTTTGCTATCGTATCAAACAACTTTTTTCGAAAACTGTGTGTTCTAAAGTTCATAAATTAACAAAACCACCAAATTAAATAATGATATTTAGAATTCATTTTATATTATGTAAATCAATTTTTTTTTTTTTGATGTCACATATTCTCTGTTATTTTGATGACTATGAAAACGAACTAAACAAAAACAAACAGAGTAAATAATAAGAATTTAAGAGTAACAAGTATTGTTTATTAACAATTAATATTTTATATTTTGTGGCATTACAAAAATAAGAAGTGTCTTATTAAAACAATACTTTAAGAAGTGTCTGAAACAGCAAAAACTGCAATTTATGGACTTATTCCCAATCAATAGGGCGGTTGCTTATAAAATATTTAAAGTATGTTGCAAGAAATTGAAAAATGTATCTGACGGCTTTACATTGGCATATTTTATTTATTTATTTATACATGGAGGTAGTGACAGGACAAGTCCCATTAGGAGCTACCTCACAACTATACTATACATAGTAACTTAAAAAAAGGTACTATGTCACGACGGTATGTACAAAAACAAAATTAATCCTATCTGGGTACAAAACTGAGTATGGCGCTTGAACAACACGTCTAAAATTGTTTGACATGAGGGCAAGTATGTCCAATCTAAGGCGATTTACTGCTCTTTCCATCCGTACGATTGGAGAATTCTTATAAGAGCTGGTTCGAGCTATTGGTGCGTAAAATAAGAAATCATATCGTAATCGACGAGGAGGAATATTCAAGTCAATTCTTGAAAGAAGATATGAGGAGTCGCAACCTGAACAAAAAGCGAACATCACTACAATATCTACGCTGCTGAAGCATGGGCATATGGTAGATTTGGCAGGCAGACAAATAATCTGCATAAGGATGCCGGAATCGATAGAAAAGGTATTTCAGAAACCTAGTCTGAACATTCTGAGAAAAAATTTTAAGGTCATCACCATACATTTGATATCTGGAGTTAGGAAAAGATTTAGCTATATCTCCTATGTAGATTACCAGCAAAAGCGGTCCTAAATGACTGCCTTGAGTTACCAAAGAAGTCATAACAATATGGTCAGACGAGTGCCCACCAATCATGATTACCTGAATCCGGTTGGAGATTCTTATACCTTTTATGGCAAACCACACTTATGGCGACTTCTAAGCATTCCATGTTTAAGAGTAATCAATTGTGATCAACCTTATCAAAAGCATTGCTGAAATCGGTATAAATAGCATCCACCTGAACGTGCTTACCAAAATTTGAAAAAAGAAAATCAGTATACTCTAACAGATTGATCTCAACAGAACGTCCTGGGTAGAACCCGTGTTGATCCATACCAATACATGACTTAATTTAAAAAAATAGTGTATTATAAATGAGTTTTTGCAAAAATTTTCCAATTATTAATATAATGGATGTAGGGTGATAGTTGTTTACAAGGTTTCAATGGCCAGACTTAAAAATAGAAGTAATTTTAGACTGTTTTCATACAGAAGAAAAGACGCCGTAGCGCACTGACTTATTAAATATTAACCATAGAGGTTTTTGCGAGTGCTTGAGAGCAGTTGCTAATAAAAGTAGATGTAGTATGACTTTGATTCTCCTTAAGATATGCACCAATAAACGAGTACAGACTTCTTCCCCATTACCAGAGGAAACGCCATTATGACAGACAACCCCAGGCATTCCAACACTACCTGTTTTCTGTTTAGCATATCCTCAAAATTGTTTGGCGTTAGAGGCAATCGAATCTTGAACATGAACTAAATAAGTTTTATGGTCGCGATAAGATACTTAGAACGCCATCTCAACATGGAGAAATTGTGGTAATCGAGTTGATTCTTATACCGTTTCCATTTTCTGTGCGAACTTTTTTTTCACGCAATGTATTAATTGTGTCCCGAGAAAACCATGTAGGGTAACTTTTATGAGGCAACCATCTGCGCGGAACAAACCTCTCAATGTTGAACATAAAATAAAGAAAGTGCAGCCAAGTACATTATGGTCTGTGTATTCGATGCTAAAGCGAATGCTGAATATCAAGCAAAACATGGATATAAGGAAAATATTAAAAACTAATATCGTATTTAAAAAATTAATCATTATATAGATTGATTTTTTTTAATTGTCCTAAAAATCAAAAATTTTGACTAAAGTCGAAATTGACAAGTTTTTGCAATAAGCTCTAGATGAATTTTAGTTAGAGCAGGTTATTTTAATATTTAGAATTTATGGAGTTTGTAGAAACATTTAATTTAACAATAGATGACATGAAAGAGTTCCTACATCATTCATTGATTTGAAACCCGTAATATTACATAAACAAGAGTTTGTAATTATATAAACAAAAGATTTTTTTTTAATTAATCCTAAGTAATTAAATTAATTAACAAAATAGGTTATTCAAAACAAAAGGGTACTTTTCACTGCAAGTGTTCTACTAAAGCCCCTGTATATGCAACAACAAGAAAAAAAAAAGAAAAACACCAAATAAAACAAACTAAATAAACAAAAGAAAATAAAGTACACTAATCTAGTCAAGATATGTGTAAACAAAAACAGCAAAATCAAAATAAAATTGAATTAAACCCGAGACAAAACGAAAAATCTTGCTATCATCTATAATTGTTTATAATTTCAATTTCGCATAGTTTCGCGAATCACTTGCCCTCGCATAAACCGATCACTCATTAAAAAACCAAACCTCGAAATCAGCGGGTTTAGACAATCCACCACTCCGTATGAAAAACTGCGTTTGAATAATTGAGAATTATGATTTTAAATACTGAGATGGTTACTGCTATGGATGTTAACCTCATGAGACGCTCTTTTCAGTTGTAACCGTTCATAAAAGTACACCAGGACACCACTTTTCAGGATCCGATAATAGAACATAGTACTATGGAGGTGGCGTTGTTCCATGGATAACCTTTCACCTCTTCTGATACCATATATTAAACAACAGTTCTGTATTTTCTGGATTCTATAATAATCCGCTCTTAGGAAGCCGTCATAAACTACATCGGCAAAATTTAGATTGCTGAGCACCAGCAACTCGCACAGCATTCTTCTGCAATTTCGACCCAAAACATGTCTATTATGGTATTATGGTAGTATTAACACAATCAGAACTATTCCAAGATAAGTTGCATCATATTTAAGTTTATCAGAACCAGAGAGCTACAGTGGTCACTGTTCTTGTGGATCTTTAAAAGTCTGTTACGTTCTGGATGTAGAAGACTTTTACGCTCTGTAGACAAAAAAATATCGTTTTGAATGTTTGTTTTTACTCATATTTTCCTGTTTTTGATATGTGAAATTCGAATATTTCGGTTATTTATATAATTTTCGAAATATTGTGCTTTACTTTGGAGTTTCCAAAGTAAATTTCCCATTCTTTTATGGAGGCTCTCAATCTAATGTCTTGTAAAGCTGGGCAGTTACACAGAATGTGTTTGATCGTCTAATCGCTTGTTCACAAAACAATTAGACATAATATATCCTGTAACGATGTGTAGGTCATTTTTATCTGGCCGTACAAAAACTAAGTTACCTTCACTGATGGAGAGCATGACATTTCGAAGAATTAGTGTAACGTGGTAGCAAAAATTACCCAACCTAAGACAGTTTACTCATCTTATCATACGCAAAATTGAGAAATTCTTATACGAATTAATTAGTAACATTATCGTATTACTATATGATTCTGCTCTCAATCTAGTCTGTTTCTTTAAACTGTCTGAACTAGATAAAGTAAATTAACATTATATCATATTATAACTACTTTTTATGTAAACATTTAGTAAAATCTTTTCGTGATCGGAAAGTAGTTAGAAAATGCTTACACAAAAGGCTCAGTGGATAAGTCATAAGTCATTGCTCTGATAATTGATACTGAATAAACGGAGTAATGTTATAGAGATTGCTAAAGGAAAAAACATTAAAACTGTTCAAAAATAAGAGCAACATTACATACTTTACCATCGAAGATAAATTTCATAGGATTAGATGTAATTATGGAAAGATTTGGAACGGAGGTAAAACTTCGACACCCTATTGACTATGAAACAGCAGAAAGTAATGTGTAGTAGCAGCTAAGAAATTAGTTAAACTAATTGCCGAGACAACAACAGTATATAGTTAATGCAGTAACCTCAAGTACAGCTGACTAATAGCGGTACTATAAACTTTGGACGTTGAAGAAAGTCTAGTAAGGCAAGGTATTACTAAAATTATCTCCGAAGGATTCAAACCCTCGGGACAATACATTGGGACATTATGGCTGGACGCATCCACGACGTTCAAGAAAGCGTAGTATCATAGCAATATCGTGTTCCAAATCAAAGTTGAGCATCATTGAGTTATGGCTCATATCATGACAGCAGGAGAAGTATAAGAGTCAGGTCAGCACTTTCTTCTTTGTTATTCAACACCTTCATGAATGTTAAACCACATGTACTGCAAGTTACCTTGGCGTTGTATGCGAACGAAGGC